AAAGTGTGCATTTTATGGCCCTTCCGTGGGTGGTTCCCGTGGGTCAAGGACCTTTCTTGGACTGTCCTCCACTGCAAAGGGCTTCTTCCGGGACCCCCTTGCCATCCCCCATGGGAGTGCACCTCATGCTGTGTCGGTTTCCGGGGAAATGCCAAACAGCCAAACCTGGGCCTCTGGCTGTGCTTCGCCCAGGCAGAGGAACAGGTGGGAGGCTGAGAGGGTTGTCCCTGCCACAGCCTCTGGGGCCTTCGGGGTGGAGTCCAAGGAAGCTGGGGTGCAGAACCTTAGGCTTGATCCCCTCATCCCCACTCCCACTGTGTCCCTGCTGCAGGGAGGGGAGCAGACACTCAGTGCCTGTTGGATAAACGGGGTGATGCTGTGGCATCCAGTGAGGAGGGGCCCCTGGGATGCCAAGGAAGAGGCTCAGGGCTCCTCCCTGCAGTCACCTCACTGAGGAGCTCTGGGAGACGTGAGGTGTGTGTGGCTGCCATGGGCTGGGAGAGGGCACAGGACCCGGGCCCAGGGACCAGGAAGAAGGGGTTCCTGTGAGCCCCTCAGAGCTGCCTCATCCCAGCCTGGCCCCGTTCAGTCTCCTGCCTCACAACCTCAGGGCGAAGCTAAGCTTAGGGTTCCCGAGGTGTGAGGTGTCTGTGCTCAGGTGTACTACGGACTGCATTGAGGTGTGGCCCAGGGTCTCAGCTGGGCACCCACCCCATGGCACAGGGCATATCACACCCCTGCCCAAGGCCAGGCTATGTCACTGACACAGCAGCACGCCCCTGCAGTGGCAGCTCCGTTGAAGGGGACAGGCAGGGGTGAGGCCAGCTGCCATCTCGGGAGACAGGGTCCCACCTGGGGTACATCCACTGTACCGCAGGGTCAGCATGGTGGCCCCGGGCCGGTGGATGTGGTCCTGGACTTGAGGGGCCCTCCCTGTCGCCCTGGGCTGTGTGAGGTGGTGCCCATTCTGGCCATGTGTGAGGGGCTCGAAGAGTCGCCCTGCTGGCCTCTGGGATCTCTGCCAGCATCCACGAGGCTGCTCCGGATGGCATCTGGTCAGGCCCAGTGCTGTCTGCGGCCAGCAGTTACTGGTTAACTCACCCTGTTCCTGTTTAACTTGTTCCTTGGGGATGGCGGCAGCCTCTGACCCATCCAGGTGCCCTGTCCAGCTGACTGCAAGCAGAGGGGAATCCTGCCCAGCTCTTGGATCAGACTGCTTGGCCGAGGAGCCCTGTGGAGCTGGGGGTGGCCCCGGAGCTCAGCCTGCCCCGAGGGGGCCCTGGCTCAGAGCCATGCCAGGTAGGCAGGTCAGAGAGTGATGGGCGAGAGTCCCCACTCCCACCTCCGGCCCCTCGGGCTGACTCCATATCACACATCCTGCTCTTATCCCGGCTCGCTGCTTGGCCACATGCCGGGGGTACAAAGGCCCTGCTCACCCCTCTCCCTGGGCCCTTGGCCCTGAAACCAGGGCGGGTGGTGAGGATGGGCGCCTTGCATCCTCTCCTGCACCAGGCCTCCAGTCCAGGCCATGCGGGTCAGTACGGCCAGGAACAGAGGAGTGGGTACTTCGGGGACTATGGCGGGGGTGTGGTAGATGTGGGCTGGTACGAGGCCACACCCGACCGAGGAGATGGTGGTCTGGCCTTCCACTAGGGCTCATCGCCCTGATGTAAAGATGAGAAAGTCCAGGCCTCAGGTCGGGGGGAGGGCTTGCCTGTGGCCAGGAGCAGAGGGCCCCAAGACCCCTGGGCCAGGGACAAGCCAAGGCCAGCTGCTCCCGGCTGCCAGCTCTGCCCATCCAGTGGAAGGTGCTGGCACACTGGGCATCTGGGTCCCCAAACCCACCAGTGCCCACACTCCCTGCAGATACCCCAGCAGAGGCAGGATGGGCTGAGGGGTGCAGTGCCCGGCCCCTCCTCTGAGACGGGCATCATGGTGTCACCAGAGGTGGGCACCAGGTGCATCTGGGAAATGGGGGGACAGACTCATGTCCTGGGTGGACAAACAGCCAGATGAGGCTCATGCATGGGCCTGGGGCAGCTCAGCTGTGACTGGCCACTGCTCTCTGTCCCCTCAGCACAGGGTGGGCGGAACACACAAAGCCCGGCCATTTCTGGGGGAAGATGTGCCAAGTGCCAAGCCTGTCCCCGTGGGACTCATGGGCAGACACAGTGTGACCACCACACCACATGGAGGCCTTGTTTCTTCCTGCCCTGTGGGCCCCTGTGAAGGTGGTGGGGCCGGGCACCCTGGCACAGCTGACCCACTGTGTCCTCTCTCTTCAGGTGTCTGTGACAGGGCCCTTGACTTCCTCTCCCCGGCTGAAGACCAGGTGCTAGGGCCTGCCTTGGGCAGCTCAGTCACTCTCAACTGCACGGCTTGGGTAGTCTCTGGACCCCACTGCTCCCTGCCTTCAGTCCAGTGGCTGAAAGATGGGCTTCCACTGGGAAATGGGGGCCACTACAGCCTCCACGAGCACTCCTGGTAAGAGGCCTGGGTATCCAGGGTCAGAGTGACCCCTCAGACATGCCAAGGCAAGTGGTCTCCCTGAACTATGCCAGGGTCCAGAACCACCTGGCCAGACATGATGTGAGCAGGCTGCCTCTGTGGCCCCAGACAGAGGGTCAGTGATGTCAGGGACAGAACTGGGGTCTGCATGGCCCCTGTAGACACACACCTTGTATACTGCCCAGGGCTCTGGGTGTCAGCAAGGTCTAGGGCCTGAATGAACGCCAACCATCTGGCCAAGCCTGCCATCAGAGGACCTCCAGGCCCCACACCCAGGACTGGGACGGCTGTTCTGAAACAAATCTGCACCCCCTCCAGGTTCTGGTCACTTCTCTTGGCTTAAGGCCCCAGAGTCACCGAGAGGCCCAATTGTGCAGCCTCCCTGGGCAAACCCAGACAGGTGGGGTTCTGGGGTGTCCACTGGTATCCCCAGTGGACCCTGACCCTGGCTTGGTATCCCCAGGTTCAAGGCGAACTTGTCAGAGGGGTTTGTGTCCAGTGTCCTGGGGGTCAACATGACCGGCGCTGAGGACTATGGGGCCTTCACCTGCTCCATCCAGAATGTCAGCTCCTCTTCCTTCACTCTTCAGAGAGCTGGTAATGGGGGTTCCCCGGGTAGAGGGTAGGAGGGGACCTCAAGGCTTGGGAGCTCCTGGAGGGGTGGTGGCTCAGGCAACCCATCCACAGGCCTTGCAAGCCACGTGGCTGCGGTGCTGGCCTCCCTCCTGGTCCTGCTGGCCCTGCTGCTGGCCGCCGTGCTCTACGTCAAGTGCCGGCTCAACGTGCTGCTCTGGTACCAGGACGCCTACGGGGAGGTGGAGATGAACGGTGCGTGGGGCCCGCGTGGGCGCAAGGAGGGGTCGCCGCGCCCTCCCTGAGGCTGCGCCGCTGAGCGCCCTGGAGGCGTGGGGCGGGGAGGCGTCAGCCTCGGGGCTCTGTGCTGGGGCTAACGTCGGGGAGGGCCGGCGTGAGGCCTCGGGAGCCCCCGGGATGACTGGCCGCCGTCCGCAGACGGGAAGCTCTACGATGCCTACGTCTCCTACAGCGACTGCCTGGAGGACCGCAAGTTCGTGAACTTCATCCTGAAGCCGCAGCTGGAGCGGCGTCGGGGCTACAAGCTCTTCCTGGATGACCGCGACCTCCTGCCGCGCGCCGGTATCCCGGGCCCCGCCCACAGGCCCCGCCCCATACGAGGCCCCGCCCCCGGAGCCCCGCCCCCAGCCCCCAAGCTCGGCCCCGTCCCACGGAGACCCCGCCCCCACCCAGGAGCTCCGCCCCGCCCACTAAGCCCCGCGCCTCGGCCCCGTCCCACCAGAGACCCCGGCCCCACCTGGAGCTCCGCCCCGCTCAGGCCCCGCGCCCTTAGCCCCGAGCCAGCCCCGTCCCACCGGAAGCTCCGCCCCGCCCAGGTCCCGCCCCCACCGGAGACCCCGCCCCACCCTGGAGCTCCGCCCCGCCCAGGTCCCGCCCCCACCGGAGACC